ATTGCAAGGAAGCTTCCAGGTGGGTTTCAGTGGGCTAAGTGGACGGGACCCTACTCTGTTTACAAAACAAACAAATCGTACGTTCGTGGAAAATTTGGCTTCTTGTTCTTGTTCTTTTTTTTTTTTGTCTTTTTCAGTAAAGTTTTTTACTGTAAGATTACTTTTTAATTATTAAATCTAATTAAAATTATATTAAATTAACAAATATGAAATATATAATTTTGTATACAAATTTAACAATTAAAAAATTGAATATTTTTAATAATTTATTTTTTCCTTACCTATCAATTTATTATTATTATTATTATTATTATTTATTTATTTATTTATTTTAACTAGGACGTGGAGGAAAGTTGATGCCTCTTGTCTGAATTTTTAAAATTTTAATATAAATGTCGGATGATCTTGATAGCTTAAGTTTTTTTAGAGATAAATGGGGAGTTCAAATTCTTAATTTATTACTATTAATTTGCTAAGTAATTGTTGAGGATTTAAACTCTACACTTATAGAATTAGGTGTGGTTTTCTCTGGTAGCAGAACTAAGATTTTGTTTCAGGGTATATATACTTAAAATATAAAAAATATTTAAAATAATAATATCAACTCTCCTAATACCATTAATTATTAATTAACTTGTTTGAAGCATATGTTATACACATGCATATTGATCAGTTTATTCAATTTTTAATATGTGAATTAAAATTTTGAAGAGATGTTTGAGAAAAATTATTTTTAATTGGTCATTTGACTTTTTTTTTTATGAGGCTCACTTTTAATATAACAAAGATTATATATATTAAAAAAACTTTAGAAGTCACAAATTTAAAAAAAAAAATGTTTTAATAAGAGTAAATTGGAGAAAAAAAATAATTAGTCAATTAGGTAAATTTAAAAGTATAAGATTTAACAACAAAAAAACCAAAAGAACATTCCAAAAAAAACCAAAAAAGTAAAAAAGAAAATATTGAGTTTGGAATTTGTGGAGATATATTTGGAATTTTTATTAATGAAGGGGACATATATGAAAAGAAAATATTTGAAAATCATATGGTAAAAATTAAAAACTAAAATTCCAACCCCGCTGAAACTGAGTTTAAATTTCAGTAATTACATTCTTTATAACAATTATTAAGTGCTGATATGTTCCAACTTGGTTCAAATTCCAGTGATCATGCGTGAGTGGTGTGTTAGAATGTTTCTCAGCTTCTAATAACTTGACGAATAAGTGATGATCATATATAACCAACTACACTAACCAATGGTGGAGGGATTTTGAAATTTTTTTTATTATACGTATATTTTTTTAATATATTTTAGTTGTGTCCTTAATTAAGAAAATTATAATTGATATTTTACTCGATGAAAAACAATTATAGTTATACCCACTTAATAATGTAAAAATTATAATTGGGAAATTAATGTAAAAAAAAAAAGGATAAGAAAAGAAAAACGTTGGGGTTTATGCCACGAATATTAAAGCTTAAAATTTGTATTACAAGAATAGACAACTCAATGTAAAACATAACATAAATCGAAACCATACATAAGTTGTGGCATAATTCTGAAAATATACATTTTAACTCGGCCATTGCTACCTACCACTCACTCTACTAAAATACAGTAACCATCAAATCGTACAATTTTTTTTGTCTAAATTATAATTTATTAAAATACTTGAGAGTTTTATTAAAATACTTGAGAGTTAGATGAAGAAAAACAACGAAACAAGCACATCCACCACCAAGTATCTTTTCCCATCAACACAAAGTTCATTCTTTGTGTATCTTAGACCATCGCTAATATAAATATTAATTAATATCAATTGTATATTTAACATTACAAAGTATGATAATAACATATTTGATATTTTTTATTTATACTCCAATATATAGTGTCATTCTAAATGTTAAATCTTCTTTTTATCATAATCATTAAGTTTTAAAAGTTATAAAAGAAAATTTTTAATTTTAAAATTATTTGATAATGCAAATGTTACAATGATTAAATAAAAAAAATAAACATATCAACCCAATAACAATCAAATATCAAGTTTATTAAAAGTATAACAAATATCAACTTTGGTACAATTAATGGCATTATATTAGAGAGTATTTTTTATACACAAATGATAAATTTACTATTGGCACATATAACATTACATTTAAAATGAGAATGATTCTGAATCCATGAACCAAACGTTAATTTTCTTTTGTTTGTTTATTGTCCTAACTAAAGGTCTTTAAAAAATTAAAAAAAGAGAGAGAGAGAGAGAGAACAGAAGAACAACTAATAAAGTGTGAAAAGTAATTATCTACCAAACTAAATCAAACTACACGAAAGGGATGAACTTTTTCTGTTTATTGATTTGATTAGCGATTTCAGAAATTTCAAATTCATATTTTGTAATTGTTTTTCTGATATATGTATATGTTATCATCTTTTTACTAACCTCTTAAAGTAAAATATCAACAAGGTAGAAATCTACAACAATGTATAAGTTAATTTATACTATTCATTTGAATTTTCTACATGTAAAAAATTATTCGACACATAAGGACAAATTGAGCATAACAATTATATGGTAGAGTTGTTAATTAACGCATCGTGGTCCATATTAATTAAGCACAATTATATTATTGTGTCGTGTTTGACACGATCCACTACTCTTAAAATATTGAAGGCTTTTATTTTCCTTTTAAATATTGATACAACAATTTTTATAATATTAAAGCAAACATTGGGCGATATCTTGATAGCTGAAATATTTTAGGGGATAAATAATCACATACTGGATATGTTCAATAGATATTGGCCTGCATGATTTATACATTGTGTCATTGTCCAACTCATGCGTCAGTGGTGTTTTAGAATGTTAACCCAACTTCTAATAAATTTTTTCAGAGAAATTGTAAATCAACCGCAATGCGAAGTAAGTAACAAAATATTTAATTAACAAAAATAATTAGTGATATTTTATATTTTTCATAAAATATTTTTAAATACGTAAATTTTCATATTTTTTATAATACGTAAATTTTTAATAAATTTTAATTGTATCCCTACCTAATTAAGAAAATTATATCTGATATTTTACTCTGAATAACATATAGTTGTGCCTTCTTAATAATGTAAAAGAAATAAATACACAGTGATATTTTAAAAACTTCCGGCTTGAAATATGTTTTTTTTATTTTAATAATATTTCGTTTTGCCCATTATATCGGTGTTGAAATAACATCATTCGCATGTACTTTTTTTATGTGGTTAATTATAAATCTGTATAATTGATTTTAAGGGTGATTAATAAAGAGTAAGAATGTCATTACAAATTGTTTTTCAAACGTCTTTGTAAATATCATAACTTGCGGACATTTTTTCTTTTTATTATTCGACCACAAGAAGAATAGAATATTTAGAAAAACGGTACATATCATTTGAAATTTAGCAACAACAAGCGTCAAAGTATCATCCTATATTCATCTCCCAATAGAAACCCATTATCGTCAACCCATAAAACAACACCTTTTGATCAGAAAAACAAAGTAATAATCTGTGGTATTTGGTTGTCTCATGCCCTTCTTCTAAACTTTGACAAATTTTCTTTAACCCAGAGGTCCACCCCAGCATCTTCCTCTGTCAAGGAAACTCAGCCAAACACAGTAAAAAGCATAAACTTCAAGTGTGTCGAGGCAGTTTGAATTTGGATTTTTAAGAGCCCGTTTAGTTCGTTGATTCGAGTTTTTAATTCGAGTTGATATGTAACTTTATGTGAGTTTTTTTTTTTTAGTAAAAAGAAGTGATTGTTTCTGAGAACTTTTAACTGTAATAAAATTCGAATCGGTAAAATGAACGGGATGTACCTTTGTGAGGGGGTGAAAAAACTAGAAATACCTCTTTGAAACTTAACACGAGCCGCACCTAATGTATTCCGTTATAATTCTAATAGTAATTTTTTGAATGTATCTAATTATATTATTTGAGTAAATTTGAGAGGTAAATTTTTAAAATTACATGTTTAGAGGGTAAGTTGTAAAACTGGGACAAGTATAGGGACAATTGTACTAAAAACTCCTATATTTATGTCTGCATTATATTATTTTTCTCTGTATCTCTTTTCTTTTATTATTATTATTTTGTGTGCAAAAATTCTTTGTATCTCTTTTCTAGAGGTTTTGAAAGGTATGTTATTAACGACTAAGTTTATTTGCAGCATTTTTTCGATATAATATAATGTTTCGACGACTAATTTTATAACCAGAAAAAAAGTCTTTTTAATGCCAGCAATTAAACAACAACCGTCAACCGGGGATGACTATTAGATTTAGTCATTAAAACCTATATTACACTGATTTTGAAGAGAAAAAAAAAATATTTTGTACTGAAAATTACATAATTAAGCTAATAAAAAACCATTTATCAAAAAAGAAAGCTTATAAAAAAACCGATAATAATAGTAATAAAACGTGAGCGGCAGGATTCGAACCTGCGCGGGCAGAGCCCACATGATTTCTAGTCATGCCCGATAACCACTCCGGCACGCCCACGTGTTTGTTTATATTTTGTATATATTTTAATAACTAGTGTAAATTAATGAAAATCCTCGTAACAAATTAAAATGGAGATGCGGGGTATCGATCCCCGTGCCTCTCGCATGCTAAGCGAGCGCTCTACCATCTGAGCTACATCCCCCGTTTGTTGTTTAATTGCAGGAATTAATATTTCACTGTTGGCTCTTGCATCACATATTCTAGAAATTTTATGATAATCTCCATGAAGCCACGCAAGTACCATTTCCAATGAAGTAATTCTCGTATTCCATATTTTTAAAATTTTGGTCAAAAAAATATAAATGTTACCCTTAATATAACAAATAAAAGTTTCATAAAAAATATTAGAAATAACAATTTTAACTACTGATATGTGTACAAAAATACTTTGTTAAGTTTTTCTATTTATCATTTGTATACCATGCATTTTAAGAGTATCAAAAAAAAAAAAAAACCCTTATATATACACATTTGTATCTTGAAATTACTTGATCCTATGGACTAAATTGGCTATTTAGAATGCACGCAGGCAGCTTCACTGAGGATTAAATTGACGTCGTTCTGCACCCATCAACAAGGGGGGAATACAGTGTGTATATACATAGATATAGATACAAACAAGCCAAAATAAGGTATGTTAAACAAGAACTCTGTTCTCCAGAAAAGCAAGAAATAAAAAATCATAATAATAACCAAAAAAAAAAAAATTATGGTTAGTTAGAAGTGTAACATCACAGTGTAACCCCATGAGCAAGTCCAAAAAAGAAGGGAACTCGTGCTGCTACTTAATATGGTTGTATGTTTCATATTTCCTCTGAAAAGAACACTGCAGAGTGCTGACCGGTAAGTCATCTTTAAATGAAATCTGAGCCGCTACCAAAATGTTCTAGGTCCGGATGAGTTCCACTCCCTGGCCTCCTCGGACCCCTGCAGAAAAATTGGAAGAGAGCAGAAAAAGAAACGAAAAATAATCATGTTTCCTTGTCGACATCAATGAAGAAGATCGCTTGCGAAATAATTCTTTTGATTCCGTGTCAAATCCAACATGCCATGTTTCACTAAGCATGCTATTTAGCTAAAACTATTGAACCCAAGCAAAGTCTCAATTAATCTTAACCTGTCTATTTTAAGCATTTCTATTAATGGAACCATTGGAGCCTTAGAACTCCGTTGAAAAATGACAAGTTCAAAGAATTTGGTTGGCAGTTGTTCCTTTTATAGCTACTAGTTGAGGCCGCGTGCGATGCACGTGGGGTAATTCCGTAGGTTCTATCCTTGTATTAAGTTTTAATTATTAAGTTTTTTTAATAATAGAGATCTTAGTTAATTGTTCGTTAAGAATAACTTTTAAAATAATAAGAATTGCACTATGGGAAAAAAGTAAGGACGGACTCTTTTGAAAAAACAAAAAAACAAAAATGGGGGACTAAAATGATAATAAGATTAAATAAGGGTGGGAGGAAAAACAAAAATTAGAGATCAAAAGAGCAAATAAGAAAACGAGGGGACTCAAAAGCAAATAGAAAAGAAAAGAGGGCCCAAAAGAAAGGAAGCGAGAAAAAAAAAAAAAAACCTAGGATGAAAAGTTTCGTCCCTCTTGGGACAAAACCACGGGAGAGCATCCCTTTGACGCTTTTATATATAGTAAGAAAATATGTAGTGGACTTCATCGAAGAAAACTTTTTCTTATACGTACCTTGCAAATCGACCAGGCTCAAAGCCAGGAACACCAGGCGGGCCATAGGGATCAAAACGAGCACCTGGAGGTACACCCCTGTTTCAATGGATTGTTTAGAGCCCCTGTTAGTAAATATGTAAGACGAAGAGACAGAGAGCTAAAACAAGAACAACTCACGGTTGTGCCCCAGGGAAGCCAGGCTCTCCAACTCCACCGTACCAACGAGGGTCGTTAGGTCCTGCTTGCAAACAATGAACAAACTGTAAATCTAGAACAGTCACAGCATGTTCGCTTTCAAGCATACATAAGAACACTGTTCCTACTCACCTAGAAGCATGCTCCCACTGCCAAAATCACCCCTAAAAAGATATAAAACAAATAGACATGTTTACAAGTGGAATCCCAACAAAGACATTAAACTTAATAACCAGCAATCATTATGCCTTGTGATGAGAAATACCTGGGTCCATACATTCCAGCACCAGGCCCAGGAAAAAGATCACTACCACCAACAGGATTAACAGGAGGATATAAAACTCTACAAGCAAGCAGAATTTTAGTAATTCATAAAACAAACATCTGATAATTGATAATTCACATAACTAATTGTACAATGCATGGCTGGACAGAAGAGGATACAAAATGTGCAATTTCACATAAACGAGCTACTACTTTTTAAATTTTTTAAATTTATTTTTGCTTTTGTAAGAATGGGCTACTATGTTTCTCAGACCAACATCAACTTCTACCTCCATGTAAAGCATTTCACTCATCTTCAATCTTCATAACTGGACTAAAGCAGGGCAGAGTCACCCATAAAAAGTTGTTTTAGCGAGAAGCTATATAAATTAGTTTTAGCTATGTACGTTTGATAAGAGATAAGTGAGTATTACACCTCCTGATTAAAGGAGGAGGTCAGCGGAAAAAGTTATTTGCTCACGAGAGACAGAGGGAAGGCTCATACCCTGAAGGATGTATTGGAACACCTGAAGATTCAGGAACTCTAGCACCATGCTCGGTTACATATGTTCTTGTTCCTTCACTAGTTTCGGAACTGCAAATTGCACCAAGTAAGAAGGGAATCTATCACAAGCAAATTGATGAGTGTATGCTTAAAATGCAGCATTCCATTGCATCACTTCAAATTTTCAGATCAAACCTAACTAGTCATTAACATTTTAATCTATAGCCACCCTTCACTGAAATGCAATAGAACCGACAGTTGATTCTTAGACCTTTTTTCCATTAAGATACTATACTCGTGGAGTATATAAAAATTTTGTGTAAATCTAATAAAATCCCTTTAGCTAATTTAGCTCTTAACAGAGGATCGTTCGACTCCGGATTTTCTGCTATAGAAAAGATGAATTATTCTAGATCTACGCTTTGAAAGAAACAAATATGATAATTTTCCCTCATTGACTCGAACATGAAGCAAGCAAACCAAATGTATCCATATTCTTCTTTTTGATCAATCAAAACTCCTTCCAAATCATACACGGTTCTTCCGAAGCACTTGGCTTTCTAAATGTAGATGAAAATATCTATACGAATGGATCACCAATACATATTTTCGCTTCTTCTCAACATTCAATCAGATAGCTCCCACAACCAATGGTATTTGTCCAAATTATGAACATCCAACCACATATCACCGAGAATTATCGGTGTTCAAACTTCAAACCTCATTATCTACATTTACAACCACACACCAAATATATAGCTTCGGTAAAATCATTGCTCATTGTTAAAAGGCCAAAATGGTCAATAGATAAAATATTTCACATCACACCCTGCAGGCAACATGGTATACCGTATAGGTCATGTAAAGAGGAAAAGAACGCACTAACAAGTATATTAGGAAAAACTACCTCAAACATGGGATGAGAATGTTCTTAACTAAATAACTAACTGCAGATTATACTAAAATGGGAAATTCCCTTGCCGTAATGACGACCCCAATCGAACTAAATACAACTACTTCAAACACCAAAACGGCATAATTAGAAAGGAATACATAATAACAACTCATGCGATCAAAAGTACCAAATCTTCCACGACGCTAAAGCTCGTACTAATTACTGGGGTTAGTTAATTCCTAGTTTTAATTCACAAAATTGCAATAAACAAGAAACGTGCAACTGAAGTAGCAAGCGATAAAATTTCTCTTTGAAAACAAACATATACCTTCTAAGATTTGTAGTGGAGCTATGTTTCGAAGAACCGTCTAATTTAGACAAAATCTCCGACTCTAGACGCTTCACCAGTTTATCCAAATTCTTGAACTGTGTGGAGTAATTACCGTCACCATCCTCTTCAACACAATCGCCAACGCTGCAATTACAAAACCCCCCAAATCCATTGTTCCAATTAAAACCAAATAAAACACGAATTCAAATGTCCCAAAACGAGGAAAACCCAGAGAATTAAGAAGGAAAAAAAAAAAACCCCATACTTAATTTCGTAATGGAGGGGCTCAGAGCCCCCATCGGCTAAAGCATCAACGAGAAGCTTATCGTTCATTACCAGACACTTGACCAGCACTTTCTTGAAATTTTTCTCAGGGTTTGCGTAGACGAATGCGTACTCGCCATCTACCTCATTCCAGCCATCGATTCCGACCTCATCTGCAAGCCCAACACAAAGCAGAAATTAATTCAGAAATTCGAGAAGTAAAGTTGTCGATAATTCTAAGGAAGAAGGTGATTACCTGTGGACGATGAGGACAGTGCGGAGTCGGAAAAGGCTTGGCGTCCGGCGGCGGTGAGGACGTAACCGGAAGCTAGGAAAGAGGCGTGAACGACGAAAGCGACCTTGTCATATTTGTTGCGGAAGGATGGTCTCGCGGCTCTGATCACCGCCATAACCGATTTCTCGGTGGCCATTTTCTGGTTGTACGGATTTGAAACAAAAAAAAGAAAAGGAAAAAAGGTTTCTAGGAAAACTAGGAAGAAAAGAGAAGACAAGACGGGAGAAGAGTCGGGGACTGAGGAGAGCGCTTCGGGAGTACGCGATTCTAGTCCGTATTTTTGTCGACTTTGAGTTTTGAGGTCTTCGCATTTGGCTTAGGTCCTCAGTTTTGAAGTTTTTATCTTTGAGTACCCAAACAATAAATTGTTACATTTTTATCCTTCTATTTTTTTTTTTAAGGAATATCCTTCTATTATTAAGTCCAGTGTTATCCATTTTTTTTTCTCTCCCTCAAAAATTTTTTTTTTTCATTTAAAGCGATATAATCATATAATATTTTCATTATTTCGAAAGTAAAAAATTACATTAACTTATTGAATCTATATCTTAAAATGCAAGGTCAGTTTAAGTAGGTTTAAAAAATATAAAAATCAATTAAAAACTATAAGAGAAGCCGTGAACAAGTCATTCGATTAAGAAAAAGATTAAAAAAAAATTGATTATTTGAATAATTTTATTTACTTTAAAGTATGGTTATGTCTAAAAATTAGGCTATCATAACTCCAACTTCCAAGAGTCATTTCGACTCTCCAAAACTCTTTGTTGCTTAGCATTTATTTATGAAGCCTTAGTTAATTGAGTAATAATTAAGAAAAAATTAATTGATTCTTAAAGTGATAACAAATTTAAAATCACGTGGGGTCTTAGCTAATTCTGAGACTTTAGGCAAAATCTTATGGTTGAGTTAGCACTATTTAAACATTTTTTACTTCAAAGTGGAAAATACAAGAAGATTCTCAGAATAAATTGCAACGCTAAGAAATTTGAAATAGCAACGTTCATTAATTCGAGAATTAAAAATACAACGCTAAGAAATTTGAGAAGTTTGTAATTGTCTATTGAGAAAAGAGGATTACAGGAATTATGGTGCATTTAATATAAGGACCAAATGGCGTAACTTTTCTTCGTACAAAGGAGAGGGAAAAAAAAAAGAAAAAAAAAAAAAAAGCGGAGCAACTTGTTCTATTAGTTTGCTGCGAGGACTTGCATGGTGAGCTGTGGTCGGTGTAAATTGTAGCCTCTTTCAGTTTTTTTAAAATTTGGCCGTACTGTTTCTGTATTGGTATTTGGCATGTGTTGTTTGTGCGTTAGAACTGCCTGCAAAACATTGCAAAGGGAAAGGAAGCCTTCAGTCTTTAGCATTGTTTCTTTCTCTGTCGTCTGTTTAAACTTTAAAACAACAAAGGACAACTAGTTCATACTCACGAAAGACTCTGCAAATCACGTGTTCCACAATCCACGCTTTCCCAGAAGTAACCCCAATCCCTTGGACCTGGGATAAGGTTGGTAATCAGGCCCTGTGTGAGGCCCACATCCCGAATTTAGTTCCAAAATACCAAGCATAGCCCGCACTTTTTGAGATGGACTCAGCGTTAGGAGAAAAAAATAGACTTCCTGTGACGGCCATTCATCCCTTGACCCACAAGGATAAGAAAGAGTAAGGCCTCATTCATTTCGCCGATTCGAGTTTAGAATTTGAGTTTTGCTACAGTAAAAAGCTCTCAGAAACAGTCACATCTAACTTTTTTGCTACAGTAAAAAGCTCTCACACAAAATCACATCTCAACTCGAATTATAAATTCGAATCAGCGAAGTAAACGGGCCCTAAAGTTATATAATCTCACATTATTTAGAGATGAAGATATGTCTTAGTTAATAAGGAATGACACCATCTCTCAATGATATGAGGTCTTTTAGGGTGAGGCTAAAAAATAAAACCGTATGGGTTCAGGCCCAAAGCAGATAATATCATATTAGGTGAGGTGCGAGTCGTTATATATGGTATTAGAGCCTCTACTCAGCCGAAAATATGACTAACGAGGACGTTGGGCCCTCATAAAGAGGGGTGTTCTGGTTTATAAGAAATGACACCATTTCTTAATGGTATGAGGTCTTTTGGGGTAAAGTCTGAAAATAAAACCGTATAAACTCAAGCTTAAAGTGAATAATATCATACCATGTAAGAGTACGGGTGGTTACACTTCCTGATGGGCTCGCGAAAAAGGAAGGCCCAGCCTTTGTGGTACCCAGTTTTACCAAAGCTTCCTCTGGAAGAAAAACTCAATGAAGCCCCTGCACTAAACCCTTTGCCACTTTCGGTGGCATCCCTTTTGAAATTGGTTGTGTTGATGTCTGCTCCATCCCTCGACATCAAGAACCAAGAGCTTGTCTAAGGGCAGCAGGAGGATCGACCAATAGTAATTTCGAAGGATGGTTCAGAACCGGGTCAAGAAATGCCTGCTTATGCAATGACAACCTTCAAGATTCCAAAGGAAATCTGTGAGGATTTAGAAAGAGCCGTCAGAAAATTTTGGTGGACTGGGTTTGTGGATAAATCCCGGTTCATGGCTTTAATTAGTTGGGATAAAATCTGCATGCCCAAGAATAATGGAGGCGTCGGACTTCGAAGGTTTGAGGATATAAACATGGCTCTTTTAAGCAAGCTTGGGTGGATTCCTGCTTCTAGTAAACATGCCTTTTTGGCGGATTGCTTGAAAGCCAGATTCTGTGGAAAGAAAGATTTTTGGAGTGTGGAAGCTTCTGCTGACGCTTCTATTGTTTGGAGAGGCATTTTGGCGACTAGGGAGGTGCTAAAGAAAGGATGTTGCATGGTGATTGGATCAGAGGAGGAGACAATATTTGGACATGCCCTTGGGTCCCTTGGTTATGCTTGAAGGCTCTTAAAGCAGCCTTCAATCCGAATGGTGACAGCCGCCTCTCGTCTTCGTCCGTTCAGGAGTTGTTGGCCTCAAATGTGTGGGAATGGGATCAAGAGAAGCTAAGAATGGCCTTTGATGATTATACTGTTGACAGAATTATACAGCTCAAGATCCTCCATCCTCTTCTAGGTTCGATAAGAAGTTCCTTCTCAGTTTAGAGTGTTTTCTGGCTTAATCAAAAGCTACACATCAAATGAGACCACCCTTTGAGGAAACTCATCTACGAGTCTAGATACATGAGAGGGCTAAGCTTTTCCTATAGAGCATAGCAAACAATGCGCTTCCTTCAAAGGACAGATATGACAGGCTAGGGATTGCTGCAGGTTTAATCTGCCCCCAGTCTGTGGCAATAGGAAATCCTTACTGCACTTATTTACTAAATGTGAGATGGCAAGGGCTTTGTGGTTCTCTAGTAAGTGGGCTATTCGAATCGACTCTATCACTTTTTCCTCCACGAGAGCCTTAGTTAACTGGATGCTGGACCCGGTTCAGTTTCTTGGAATTCCACATAGGGGATCAGTGGGAATTTCAACTCTTTTATTAATAATATTATAATTATATAATAAAATAATAATATTAGAATTATTAGTATAATTATGGTATTATTTGTTAAAATATTACAACTATATTATATTATATCATATTATATATATTATTTATTGTAATATTATTATATATTATATTATAAGAGATAACACTTATATAATATATTTTAATTATATTATAATATTAAAGGGTAATTATGGAAAAAAAATAAAAAAGAACTTAGAATGGTCATTCCTCCCATATGGGTGAATGATCATTTCTTTTTTCTAAATCTAACCAAACATCAAACTACAATTATATTTCATTTCTTTCCACCCAATCAAACACACCCTCAGTACACACCCTCAGTACTCAGTTTATATATCCGTGTACAGCAAAAAAAATTTTTGCATAAAAAATTATCAAGTACTCGAACACTGTTGCATTTTGTTGTTGGTTGTTGTCAATTGCGTCTAATTTGTGATAAATAGGCTACAAAACTTTTTATTAAAAACTTCTCCACGGTTACTTATTTAGTTACTTATTTCCAGAAAAGTAAAATGATATAGTAAGTAATAACTAAAGAAAAAATACTGGACAAAGTTTAATAAAAATAATTTCCGTTGCCGGGACTTGAACCCGGGTCTTTCGGGTGAGAGCCGAATATCCTAACCATCTAGACTACAACGGATTTGATGCAATTAATAGGAGCTTATAACTCATAATATTTGTTTTCATTACGTTCTATAATTAATGCGCCATTTAATAAAAATAGACGTATATAAGATTACGTTCTACAATTAATGCGACATTAAATAAAAATAGATGTATCTAAGATTACTCTAGATACGGAATTCAATGCAAAATTCGAATGTATCATAATTGCACCAAATTTGCATATGTATAACCTTAAGCTTAACCTGACCTTCACTTAAATTGGCTTTCTCAAGGATGAAAATATCAACATTTTTACTGATATTTCTATAAAAATTTTTGTATTTTAAAAGTATTGATATAAAAATAAAGGTGTAATATCTTTTTCGCAGAATATCTTGAAATTTCAACATATATTTTCATAAATATCAATACTTTTACGTAGATTTTCATTCCGAATAAAACGTAGTGTTAAATAACTGAATATCGTGAAAATTTTGTGAAAATTTTGAAAAATATCGGTAAATTTTCACATAAATTTCTGCAACTTTATATATATATATATATATATTATTTTACTTTTAAAAAAATCTAAAAAAATGTGGCATGTCCAAAAGTATATAAGAAACTATTCAAACTCCATGTCTTGATATCAATATTTTTTAAACTAAAAATGTGTTCAAACTTCAAAATACCGTCCAGCCTCTTAGAAGCTCCTTTTAGTATTGCTAATTTATCATCATGTATGAAACCGTATATGTATGGTATATGTATTATGTTGACTTTCAGCTATTTTACTAAATTTGTAAATGTGTGCTTAGTATTTATGGTATTATGATTACATTTTACCTTGCATATGTATCAAATAATTACTATTTTAATTGAGTGTTTCATCTTTTTAATGTAATAGATATTATCTATTGTAAAGTTTTTAAAATCTCATTTAAATACATAGAGTGTTTTGGTATGAATTTTTCTTTTTTAAGTTAATTTTCACCAATATCGATATTTTTATTGATATTTTTGTAAAATTTAAAGACCGATAAATATTGATATTTTCATGGTGGCACTCTTGGTCATTGCATCATCTTGTTAGTCTCTCTCTTCTATCCTCATCTCACTTTCAGTTAACACACATATAATTTGGTGGGGATGATTGTTCTCA